ATGGCTGAGGTTGAAAAGTAATTTTGATTGACAACTTAATCACATTTGTATTAGCTAGCAGCACGGCTTTTGTAGGATATTTGTCAATATTTTATAGATGCTGTCATGGATCAAATCCATGTTGCCAAATAATCACCCCTTTCAAGTCAGTTAACTTGTTGGGTATTTTATGTGAAGCCACATAATTAAAGATTTTAAATCTGGTCAAGACATAATTCATGCTGAGCGTTATAAAGTGTTCGCTAGACAGGTCCATAGCATGAAATAATGGAGTAGACAGACGTCTTTGAAACAGTTTACCTGTTAGAATTCCTGAATCATCATCTTGCAGCTTACAGCTAAATGTTTAGACTAGAAGAAAATATAACTTTCAACTCTTTGCATCATGTTATTTGGCTACCATAATTGAGGGAAACACATGTTTACTCTGACATTCATCTACTTTAAAGGTTATCAGTGAAAAATAAATGTTGTGATGATCATTGAAACATTTTATATTTGTATATAAATATATATAAAATAGATTCATATCATAAAGCTTTTTTTATGAAATCGGAGCTCCTTTGAGTAACGCCCTTATAATAACATTCAACTGAAGGAATTTGGAACAAGATACAGAAAAAAAAATTAGACAGACTGACTTAATTCATTTAACTCTGTTTTCATCAAGACACATGAGCTGTTTTAAAGAGCTCCTATAGCTTAGTGTAAAAAAACAGCTGATCCCAGGCTGTTCTTTACATCCAGTCTGTTCCTCTGCTTGGTTTTGATGTTTATCAAAGCTGAAGGTGAACTCAAAACTCTCTTTTTGGATGAAGGCTTGTTTAATGTGTCTATTGGGTCTTCACAAAGTAAAACAGATCCCAGCCCTATTTTTATTTTAATAATAATAATAAATAAAACATTTTCTTATACCCATTGCAATTAACTCTCTAAACACCAGGAGTATGAGTACCCCCCTATTGAGAATAACTAGTTTACAGTTCCAGTCCAAAGTTTAGACACAAGTTTTTGGCTTATCTTTGTTTTTATGACTTTATTGTAGATATATGTTGAATTCTGGTATAAAATCACATCGAATTATGGGGAAAAGAACTAAATATTAAATAAATTAACTTTTATGATTCAGATTCTTCAAAAACAGCCTGTCTTTGTTTCACATTACTTATTTTCAAATTCCCAGTGACCTTCAGGAGAAAGTCATAACAAATAGTTCTCTGGCGATCCGTATGGAGTTTCTAGAGGTAACATTAAAAATAAGGAGATAACTCCAAAACATGTTTACAGACTTTTGACGGGTTGTTTAAATAGCAAGGATAAGAAACAAAGTAACCAGGCTTTCCAAACAAAACATAAAAAGCTTCACGAGTGAAATAAAACCTAAAGCTGTGCAGGAAAAAATGTTCACCGTAAAAGACCAAACACAATGCCTGCAATTCATATCCAATCATAACCAATTTTTTTTTAACATATTATTTCATCTTTAATCATCAGATGTTTATGAAATCAAAATTGGAAACTAAGGTAGGATAAAAACATAGCCTGTCATTACATTTTTGCACATGAGGCTTATGTACAAAAAGCCTAAATTGACTACAGACATTCGGATATTCAAACTTTTTATAAATTCTAACAAAAAACACAAGTGAAAATAATATGGAGAACTACAGTTGAAAACTCTCAAATTTTCACAAGATTTTAAGGTGACCTGATCTCTGGAATAATTGCATTAACTCTTCATAGCTAAAGATACAACTCGTTTTTTTTTTTTTTTCTTCTTCTTTTTCTAATTGTATTATTTTGGAAAAAATTAACCATGCATTACATATCCAACTAAGTGATTCATTGTCTCAGGGGTAATAAGGACTTGTAGTCAGTGCTGGAGCTGCAGCTGGATTGCTTTACAGTCCAATCAAAAGTATCCCTGCTACTCCGTCCGCCCTGCTGCACCCTCCCTCTGGTGCTGTCGTTCAACAAGCCCCCTCCAACCACTTCTCCCCCTCTTCCTCATTAAAGTAGCATCTGCTGAAGGGAAGAGGCCTGAATCCAGCCCCTAACCATGCTCACATACACCCCACCGCTTCCTTTTGCAAACACTCATGCCTGCCATCTGCCACAGAGTTGGACGAAACCCCGCCACTGAAGCAGCCACACGCTTTCACCATGCATGCAGGCTGAAAGCCCTCATTTAAAACACACTCAATTGCTGGAAAGCGTCTCCTACGCAGAGCTGCTTGATCGCACACAGATGCACACATTGACATTTGCACTTGAGCTCCAGTTTTGTAGTGAAATCTGAACAAGAAGTCCTCATGAAGGAGAACAATCTCAACCTGCCGTACAAATCCAAAAAAACTTCACAGCGTCTCTGTGGGAGTCAAAGGAAGGGGTAGGGAAGACAAGGGGCAACAGTAGACTTTAATTAGTCCACTGTGGCCATGGGGTCCCTCCAGCGTTTCATTTCAGGAGGAAAGAGAGAGAGAGAGGAAAAAGAGTAGAGCAGAAAGGAAAGATGAGGACAGCGCTGAGAGAAAGGGACCCGTACTGATTGAACATGGAGCTCCTCCCTGTGGCTTCTTTTCTGCCTCCTTCTCTTTTCTTTCCATCTCTGCTTGTTGTACATAATGCCCTCTCGCTTTCAGTGCATTTGCTCGTCACCCCTCAGTTATCCACAGTGAATAATAATGTTTCCTCTAGGAGAGACAGAGGCAGAGAAGCAAGCCTACGGCCATGCATTCTGGTTGTCTGAGCATTCCCCAGTCATCCTCTCTGCCTGGGCAAAAATCAACAGTGAGGTAGGCAGGATGACCCAGCCTACCCATTCCTTCCTTCATACTCCCTATGCATGTTTTTGTTTCTCATTATTTACGATCTGCATCACCCAGAGGTCCGTCTGTCTCTTATTCCCTATGCACACTCAAACAAATGTTGGACCACAGGGACACTCCTCTTGTCTTTTACAACCTGTCCAGGCAAGTTAGCAGCATTGTATGTTTTCTGGGGATGTTTGCTCTTGCCTGCAACACTGCCATCATCGTCACTGTCACTCAGACAGAAACGGCAGAAGGGCAAACCTACTAGAGGAGAGATTTCTTTCAAGAGACAGTGTGGCCCAGCTCCAGATCCTCGGGCTATTTAAAAAAATGCTGCTCAGTTCACAGTAGTAAGCCACATTACTTTGCTTTATTTCTTTTCTTTGTGGTCTCATGCGCTTTATTTTAATTTATTTTATTTTTTTGTGGAGATTTCCTAAAATAGAATTAAATCTGTTCAGTTAATGATCTGGAACTGTTAGGGCTGATCGCAGGGCTGACGCATAAATGCATATTTAGTCATATTCTCAGAATAAAAATTCTTTTTTAACTCAAATCCAAGTAACTAATACATCTTTTCTAATCAAGTCATGTGAAGTCATATGCTCCTGCAGTAACAGAAGCTATTAAAGACCCATTATTTGGTTCACTGTGCCTTTCCACTGCCTTTGCTGATGCCAGATGAAATGGGCCATTCTAATCCTCATTAACATAGCTAATTTCACATAAGGGAAAGTTGATAGAGGATGTCAAAACCATTCAAAGGTCAGCCAAGCAGGCATTTACTGTATCAGTATTTATATGCATATCTATAAGAGAGACTGTTCAAATATTTCAACATCCGTTTAATAAAATCTTTAAGTAACAGATCACTCAAGCATAGAGTAAAAGCTGCCAGATACGATACATGAGGCAAAACAGAGGTAACCTTTCAGTTTCTGACTAAACAGGTGACGCTGTCAAAGCATCAGATGACAGTTGGTCATGCTGACATGAAAAAGGGGTTAGGAGTTGGAGGATGGGCAGAAATAGGATTTGAAATGTTTGCCCTCATCCCAGCCTAAAGGGTTGCTGTACTACAGCCTTCGTACAGATGGATGGACGTGTCACAGCAACACATGAGGGTTGGTTCTTTCAACAGAGACTCCGGCAAAGACACATTGAAGAGAAGGGACAGACCTGACATTAGAGGCAGGAAGATGTTGTCACTTGACCTTTAATATTGACATATATCTGTGTTCAGAATACAGAAGAAAAAAAGATGCCCGCTGTGACTACGTACTATAAAAAGCTAGAGTTGTTGGAACTTTTTAACATTACAAAAGACGTTTTTTTTTATTTAGACATTTTCTATTCCTGCTATTGAGCATTATTCTCATTCAAACTATAAATTATTTAGATTTATGGTTTTCTAAAATGCACAAAATGGCTAATAAGCTATCCTATTAAGGATATTTAGCTGATTTGTACAAATAAATGGGTTGCACAATGCTACAAAATCATATGCAGGGGTTTATTTATACTTTTGACAGCAAAATCAGCTGAAATAAATCCGGTTTCTATTTCTCGCCATTCTCTAATGTTCTTTGCAAACCTTCCTATGTTTGGCACTATAATCTGTATCGGTGGTAAGCATTTACTGTAGAAAGACTTCCTACAACTGGCAAAATATATTAATAACACATGTAATAGATCAGGCAAAAAGAGTGTTCTATCGGGTATTATACTTGTGCACATTTATAAAGCTAAAATATTTTTGAAATCCTTTGTACAGCCACAAAATTCCCATTTGCATGAGCGCATATACTTGCTGTATTGAATTCTTAAAAAATAAATATATGTAACTGTAAAAAAAAGAGCAAAACAAAAAGTATAACTGATTTTTCTTTGTTTAGTTAAAGCTTATTTTGTATCATTTTTTAGTTTCCCCGATTTAATTCTATTCTTTGCCTGGCAATTTCATATGCATTATTATGCATTAATATGCATTAATATGTATTTTATAATATCTGCAACAATGACAAGAAGGTTTTATTTTATTCTATTCTACATCAGAAGTTTTAGCCACTTTTTTCAAAGTTTTAGTTTAAGTTTATAAAGATTTTTCTCTTCTGTTTATGGCTAGGCACCCACTGAGTTTCCTTCTAGCCAAAAGCTTAACATATGAAAATATTTTGGAGAACTTACCTCATCACCCTCCGACTGGAGGTAATGCTTGCCACGATAACACTCTCTGGTCTTGGGGTGGCCACAGCCTTGAAAGTCCCCTTCCAAAACTTCTCAAAGAGCTGCTTCTCTCCCAGATGCAGCAAACTGCTGCTGGTGGTGGAGGTGTTTTCTTCTGTTCCCAGGGATCGAGAAGGACCATTAAGGTCAAGCTTGAATGAAAAAGGTGGCTGCATCTCAGTATTTTTTGTTGTTGTTGTTTAAATCTGAAAATGAGATGTAATATTTTATCCCTCACAAAACAGATCCTTCACTCCACAAGCTTCTAAAGTCATGCACACACTCTCTCTAGTTGTTGATCAGGAACTGTCCAAGTACTGAATCGAAGCAACTATAGTGCAGCAGGCTGTTTTGCCTCGTCGTCTCCTCTTCGCTGCAACCTGTCAGCGCGTCTGTCTGCTCTTCAACTGAGCTGTAGCCCGGGGAGAAGGACAAAAGCTGACCCTTTCCAGCTGAAGGCAGGGTATTGTTCTTGAGTGTGGGACGGGGTGGGGGAGATTGGGTTTCTTTCACCCCCTCTCCTCCTCAGTCACATCTGCTCCCCTGTTGAAGATGGGGTCTGGGTCGAGTAGACCGGGAGCTCTTTTGTTTTATCCCTGTGGGAACCTTTAAACACTATAAAGCGTCCCTTACCTACAGAGCAAGAAGCATGATTCAGTCAAAAGGTTAGAGGAGATTTCTTCTTAAAAAACAGAGTTTTGATTGTATATCCACCCAGAGTAGTTGAGCAAGTTTAGAGCAAGCAACCCTGACAAACGGTGTGGATGTGAGTAGAAGAGTGTCTTAGCGAGTGTGTGAATGAGAGCTGAGTGAGGAGCTCAACTGTGAAAAAGCTTGTTTTGTATCTCTGCATTGGTGACGTCAAAACTAGGGGCTGGGCTCATAGAAGAGGGACTCCTCCGAGAGTGTTTGTATGGGGAGGGTGTTCGGGGGGCGGAGGTGTGTGTGTGTATTATTCTTCTCTCTCTTAATTCTTTAATTAGTTTACCTCTCATCTTACATGTGCACACATTATTGTCTCTTTCTTTTAATTGTTCCAGTCTTTCTCCTTCCCTTTTTCTCCACAGCCAGACCTCACGCTTCTTGTTTTTTCCTCCACTTTAAAATAAAGCTGTAAAACCTTAGTAAAACAATGCTTAGATCAGATCACACAAAATCATGCATAGCACAAGAAGGCACCAAAGAAAGCAGCTCCTCTAAAGTAAAATTCAAGTTGGTAGAATGCTGACAATGTCAAGGGTCAGATAAATGGACCCAGAATTCAGGCAGACAGAACAGGTTTGTGTAAAGATAAAACACTTGATGGCTCTGGATAACGTGGCTTGTCAGCTGGGACCAGCGTGCTGTATTCTCTGGTTCCCAGTTCAGTCCATGTCTGGACTGAACTGGGAAGAGGAAGGAGTGTGAACCACAAGGATGACATTTCCACAACATGTGGCGGGAGCTGCCCAGAGAGTTCCAGGAGCGAGGAAGAGCCGCCTGTAGAGCGGAAGCCATCAGACGCTGAAGAGCAGAAGAGTCCAGAGGCAAAATCTAGAGCAGGTAATGAAGCAGGGGCACAAACCAGAAGATCAGAGAGAAGCAGTACCAAAGAGATAATCCAAGCCGGGGTCAGGGGACAGATCCAAGGTTGTTAACGGGCAGAGTCCAAACAGCAGTTCGAACACTGGAAACAGACAGAAACAGACCGGTAGAGGGGCAAGCCAAAACTCAGGAATCCAGAGGTAGAAACAGGTCAGGATCAGGCAGTCAAAAAACACAACAGGGTTCGCCAGATACTTCTAACACTTGGCTCGAATAATCTGGAACTGATGACTGGAAATAGGAGCTGGAACAGGTGGATCAGATGAGGGCATATGAAAATTGGGTGTAGCTAGGCAGGTGGAAGGAATTAAACTAATTATCAAGTTATCTGTGTCAAGATCATGAGAGACAAACCCAATACATAGGGGTCAGTTGGTCCGATCTTTTCCCATAACCCACCATTACCCCACTATACACCAAACTAGAGTAATTGAACACAAATTGAATGTTGATGACAATGTTCCCTTCTTCAATGGTTTCCTGCAATTCAGACATTAATGATGTATTGTGAGTAATGTTAATGTATCAATTATTTAAAATATACAAAATTTCTTGTTTTTCTATTTATTTTTTAGGAATATCATGATTTTTGTATCTAATTTAATTGCCTGATTTTTGAAAGCTTTACCTGAATTGAAAGAGATGCAAATGTGTTAGCTTATCTTCAAAACAGTTTAATTGAATTGCAGATGCAAAAGCGTAACAGCACAAATCTTTGTACATGGGTGTCATCATTAATACGCAAATCCTATTCTTATCAGCAAGCAATGTAAAATACTAAGTGGATGAGATGCAAATGTAAATACTTCCTTGCTGCAGAACAGATTTGTCAAGCCTGAAACCTATTGCAGGTAGTTTTTGCAGCTTTATTTAGCAAGTGTGAAAGTCAGGTACAAACTTGCACGCAAATATATCTGTGATTGTTATGGTCACAATGAGACATTGGTACAGTGAAAGAAGATTAAGAGTAAGTATAAAGTAAGTATTTGTTTTGTTCTATATTCATCAGTTACTTTTTGTTGCTGGTAGGCATAAATATATTTTACAATTCCCTACAATTATTGGGACCTAGGTGATTTATTCAATTGACTTTATAATTTCAATCTTATCATTAAAAATGAAATAAAGTACATGCATTCCACTTAATGTGAATGGAAACGAGGTCAAAAAGAAAAGTGGTAAATCTGTCTGTACTAAATGTCTTGTAAATTACTTTCCCCACCGGGAAGTCTTATGTAGGTTGGGATTAGTATCTCATTCCTCTAATACATATGCATAAAGACACTGCTCCCTGCCTCATTGGGACTAATAACGCATATATTAGTTGATAACTTGAAACCTTGATGTATAACACCACCAACTGCTTGATGATAAGTGGCCACTTCATCAGGGTGCTTTGCATAAAGAGGAAACTGAGGTGCTCTCCAATCAAACTAGGAAGCACAAACAAGGGGGAAAATATTTCCACTGTAGACAGGAATATCTAAAAACTTCATATATTGTTGCTTTAAATGTTGGAGGGTTTTGTCAAGGGCAGTGGGTCAGATTACTGAAGGTATTTTTTTTGTTTTGTTTTTTCTACAACAGGCTTTTGCTTTTGCATATTTTATAAAAAGAGCTCAGTTGAAGTACATCAGAGTTGAAAATTAAGATTTGTGTAAAGATGATACTTTTGGTAAGTGGAAAAGTAATAAATTAAAATGTGGTTAAAAAACAAAATATTGACACAAATATTTATTTGTATGTATACTTGCAAAGATATTTAAAATGTCTAAGACTGATCATCCTAATTGGCTTTTGTTATTATTTCTGAAAACACATTAACATGATATAAAAGTTGTAATAATTAGCGGGGGAACTTCATTGTGTAACTACATTGAAAACAAATGAAACCCCAATTATTCCTGAAGGAGCCTTCTTTAATTTTTGTGTTGGCTGACAGGGTGCAGTATAAAGAACCTCTACTCAAGGTAAACAAAAAATTAAGTGAACTTTTAAATATAGCCGAGGGAATAGAGGAAGATTTTTTTTTTTTTTTTTGTGGTAAGGCAGGAAAGCTTTTGTTGTGCTCAGATCTCATGCTGACAGTAATTGCTTTTGTTGGAACAGATGAATTCTTGTTTGTTTTTTGTTTTTTTTTTTGCTATTATTTCCAACAAAAAGAGAGCATGCAATTACTGTGAAATGTAACTTTTTTTCTTTATCAGCAAGAGTCAATATGTTTGTTTTTGAGCATTTCTTCCTCTGATGCATCATTTTAAACATCGAAAAGCAAACCTTCAACCTTGTTTTCAAAACCCAGAACAGTATTTTCTTTCCTTTTCATTTCAGAAAGCAGACCTCCGCATCTTTACCAAGTATCCACAGCTTCGATTGTTTGTGGATGAGCTGTCAGCACAGCATTCACGGCAACCGAAACCTTCTTTCTCAAGACATTTCGAGGACATGAGGGGGGTTAGTAAACATTACTTTCTTTTTTACAATTCTTGTAAAAATTGTACCATTTTGAGTCAAAAATTGTCGTCAGCCCTGAAACAGAAAACAGCTCCAAAAATGCCAAGCAAAACTGAACAATCTAGGTGAGTTTTGCTTAATGATTGTATAAAGTGACTGTGAGCTGTGAACCATTGTTTTGAGTGAATAAGGCTCAAATGCAGTCATAAGTAGGAGACAAATGCATTGCATGCCTATAATAAGAAAATAACCTAATAACATGAAATTCTGCATAGGTTTAAACAGAGCAACATGATATTTGAATGAATGAATGTTTTTCACACATACTGAAAAAACAACTCATAAGTTTTGCTTAAAAAATATATTGTAAGAATTCCCTGCGATAGATTGGCGACCTGTCCTGGGTGTAACCCGCCTCTCGCCTGTAGAACGCTGGAGATAGGCACCAGCACCCATTGCGACCCCGCTTGGGATAAGTGTGAAGGAAAATGGATAGATGGATGGATGAAAGACATAATAGTTGTGAAGATATTAAATAACATTTAATTTATTACATTCAAGTTGTGAGTTGGATTTATTTTAAAAAAAGTAAAGTGCACTGGTTTTTCATTGGCATGGGATTTTACTTAAAATTTTAAGTCAACACAGAGACAAACAACCGTTTGCACACACACTCACACCTAAGGAACAGTCATGTTTCTGGACTGTGGAAGGAAGCCAGAGTACCCAGAGAGAACCACAACATGCACAGGGAGAACATGCAAACTCCAAGCAGAAAGACCACAGGCTAAGAATCGAACCTGGAACCTTCTTGCCACAGAGCAGCAGTGCTACCCACTGCTCCACTTAGAAGCCCTCTAACTGGAATTGTACTTTTCAAATATGCAATAAAAAATGTACAAACCTCTGAAACTGAGAGTTTCAACATCTGTTACAGAAATATACTCATATGTATGATCAAGAATTTTTAACTTACACAAACATACTCAAAACATCTTCTGGGTGAGGGTCAGTACAGAAACAGCCACTTAAACTTTTAGCAGTGGTATGACTTGTAAACAACAAATAAACAGTATTTCATATACACCACATCCAGCACAGTCAGTGCTCAAATATGTAATCAACAATCTTACAAACCTACACACTGAAACATTGGAATTTCAACATTTAAACCAGTCACCCAGACTAGTGGACTTTTAAGAATGCAGCTACAACATTAATGGAAAAAAAAATTAACAGATTAAACCGTCAATTCTCATTAAAGAATACACTATCTACTAGATATTTAAAATGTGGAAATTATGACTTATCACTCTAATAGAGTTTACTGCACAAAAAAGTCACTTTTTTCAGTGCATACTATGTCCTTCCCCTAAGGCAAAATGCATGTAGTATCCAACCACTCATCTCTTATATTGAAATCTAGATAACCAAGACTCTGTGTATGACTTATATGATTTTTAGAAATTAGTACATTGGCTCTCATGTGTGAAAAATATGCTTGATTTCAAATTTCTGATGCTAAATGGAGGAAAGCTGTACATCATGCCACAGCACCACCGAGCTGGGCGTGACTAAAAGATGAATACAATGGCTTTTATTTGGGATGGAAGGAGGATGCAGAAATCAAGGAGTCTGTGTAAACCTGACAAGTAAAACAACCTTCCCTCAGTAAATGAGAGATCAGTTATTTTGAACTAAAAGAGAAAAGAGTTTAACCTACAACATAATTTTTGGGGCCCTGATTCTTTCCT